CCTCCCCCCCCCCAACCCCTCAGTAGTGGCAAAATAAAAAATACGTCAAGCCCTCTTCGATTTTCGAAAGAGTACAATGCGTTCATATATGATGGCCAACGGCTCCATTAAATGCACATCCCAATAAGTTCCAACCATAAAGGAACACGAAATGCAGCAACCTACGGATCGAATTCTGGAACCTAAAATTTTCAACACTAGGGTGTGACGCAGTAAAATAACTGCCCGGTGAACCCAACATATAAATAAGCCCTCTGCCCTTATGTCCACCCAGTTCATCTCTCAGGTATAATTGTGCGCTATTTCTACGCTTAAACTATCAATTACTTTCCTTTGTCATTTGCACCATTATTCTGCTCCGAAATTTGGTTTTTTATATTCACTTAGACCTTGAGAGCATTTTCCCACTTCTTACTAATCCAAGCAAGACTGCAATCAAAACGAAACACAAATAGCAGTATGGCTTCGCCTGAGAGTTTACTTTATTACTTCACCCAAAAATGACAGAAAAGAGACAGGTTTGTTAGCTTATAATTCTACAAATTTGAAGATATTTACAGAAATCTACAGTTTTGAAAGCGGTTTGGCACCGATGATTGATAGGCATGTAGAGAGTACATTGCGCGACATTCTGAAGATTGCAAGTCTTGACTAAAATAGTGAAAAATAATGCATATTTCAAGTGGCCTATGAAGCAATTTACTACGCTATAACCCCTTAATCTTGCAAGACTTTACCAAAGAAAGTTCTTCCGATTCAGCCGTCAAGACCGGGAGGAATCGCCAAGCTCTACTGATAAGGGTTCTGCAGGCAAAAAAGCAGGGCAATCAGATTAAAGAATGATCGAATAAGTGGAAGCAGGTATTATGAAGGCAGATTTCCAAGACAACTTAGGTTTAAACCAATGTAAGTTTACAATGAAGCAATAACAGTACAGTGAAATTAGGATTAAAAAAGGGTAAGCATACGTTAGACGCGAGCAGTATCGCAGCAACCCGTCGGCCTCGTACTTGACATATGCGCAAGTTAATACATCTGGAAATCTAAGAAGATGAACAAAAAAAGTCATATGTATATCAATGATATTCCCCCACAACGATCCAAATTAAAACTTTATTCTCCATATAAAATCAACACATAAAGCACCTCTTACTTTCCACTAGGATTGGTACTCAATATGTTTCCTTAAATTAAAAGCCGGATAAAAAGCGCCAAACAAAAGAACGTACAAAGCCAGGTGAGCACATATCTCTTCCTCAACCTCCCGAGATGGACGATTTGATGGAATCTCATTGAATACTTCTAGAAGCATCTTGTTGATGGAGTTTATATCACTGTTGTTTGGAAGGAGTCCATTAGCCATAGCCTTTTCTTCAAGGCTGCAAAGAATACGCGTTCGAAAGCTCATTTAGAAATTAAATTTAACACCGTCATACTACTGACCATTTTAAGTAGACAAACTACTCCACGAGCGAGCACAACGTACCTGCAAAGCCTGGCATGACAGTACTGAAGACCGAGACCAGTGAGGTCGCGCGAATCAGCTGTGGAATGAGCACCGCTACTACCAATTCTTCCCGACTGATGGTCATCCTTAAAACGCAGATACAAGTGAACTGGCTGCATGCGTGGACGTCGAAGCATCTCAGATACTAACCAAGTGACTCCCATTTGATCAGACACATTTTCAAAAAGATCGCCATCACTTGGAGAGATCCGCGTATCTATAAACATCATGAATGTACATGTAAAAGTTCAAAGAGTTGATAATAATGTTCCATACCAGAATAAAAGTTAAAAATCGTTAAATAAGAAAAGCATTTAAAATTTCTGGGTCAATAGAATAATTGAATGAACATTGGTTTTAGTGCAGATCAGCATATGTAGTTTGCTTCTTCAAAAGATCGAATTTTATAAACGGTGAGATTTGGGAGCCTAGTTTTATTCTTCTTTTCGGATAAATACATTTCAGAAAACAGATATTGAACGAAATCTATCAACGAAATCAGAGCATGGAATCAACTAGTTCAAATGTCATTCCCCACACAAGATTTGCAAATACACATACTAAAGTTGACTTCAGAAGAATAAAGGTCTGTTCAGTTTTCAAGGTAATGACTTTATAGCAACTTGATTCCTAAAGAAATTAACTTACTTGGAGATTGAAGCATCCTTTGACGAGCCTCATTCTTTGCAGCGTCCAAGACATCAACTAGGAATAAGCCGTTTCCCCGCCGTGTACTCGCTCCACTAACTCTCGCGAAACGAACATGAAGAGGCCAAGGCGAGGAATTGCTGCAAGGAGGGTGGCAAAAGCGTTTACTTAAAACAAAATCAATTGAACGAAAGTTGAGATCATTTAAAACTCACGGTTTAGCCCATTCATAGCCCATACCCGACAACAGATGAGCCAGGTTAAGGAAGTGTTCACGTTGGCCATCCTCAACCTTATTTTTTTTAAAAAAAGGGGTTAGAAATCAGCCACATTTTCTAATTCAAACTCTATTGAAATAATTTAATTCTACGGGACATACAACATAGTGCATCCTGTCGAATCCGAAATTCTCGAAACGAGATATAGCAGCTGCCAAGTCACTGAAAAAAAAATCATCTACGAATTTATACTTATAGAAAAATAAGACGGAAAAGCCAGTAAATAGTCGTAAATGAGATCACAGGTGAGTTAGCTGGAAGATTTAATTAACATGGCGCGGAAAGCCATGAGAGATAACATATAACAGTAGGTCAAAGTCCAATATACTAGAAGATTCTTATTGCCATTTACGATTAGGAAAAATTATAATTGCTAGACTGTCCAAAAGGATAAAAGTTTCAAATCCAAATTCTGCTATCTCGCTCATTACCAGGTTCAACCAGGAGAGTTAGACACGATAGTCACGGGATGTCAGATTCGTTACCTCCTGCCTGTTATTCACTACCCTCACCAATTCAAATAGAAATGCAATAACTATGTTGACTGAAAATTAAATATTAGAAACTGTGCTTAGTAAATAAACTGGTATACCGTGTGAGATACAGCGTGCCCCCATCACTTTTCAAGAGGGTCACCCTCTTGCCAGGTTCTGAAGATCCGGCAGAAACCGAGCCGTCCCTGAAATACCATCAACAGCATTTTATTATAAAAAGGCCGAAGTGCACTTCAATAATCACCACAAAACACCCAGCTTACTCCTCCTTTCTACCAATCCGCCGCTTAATAAGAAGATCAATTAACGCTTTGGCCGCTGCGACGAAATCGGACTCATATTCGTAATGATCGAATTGCACATTCATTCGCTGGAAATTAACGATAAAAGTAAAGATGATTGATTTGATAAAAAAAACCTTAAGATTAGAGTGGCATCAGTGCTTAGTTATCTAACGCCGCACTGAAACGTTCTAACTCAAGAGTTTCTAAACCATCAACTTATCAATAGTTTTACCAATATTTTAATCGAAGTTTGCAATCTGTATAGTAACTTTGATTTTTATTACGATTTATTTTTACATTAGTCACTAAATAGATCCAGAAGAGTATAACAGATCAAGGATGAGAATTTATGAAAATTTTTTTCGATCGATCACTCACGGCATAGAGATGCTGAAGTTCCTTCAAACTAAGCTCTCGGAATTTGTACCAAAGCTCAAGGAGGTCGGGTCGTTGGCCACTCTCCATTTGCGTAGCAAGAGCTGAAGCCACTGACTTTCCATCATTCGAGTCCATCGACTGGCATGCCCGGACATATACCTAAGAAAAATATGACATGATAATTATATTAATCAGGCTTATTAGATATTCATAGATAACAGCAATGAAAATGACACTAAAATAAGAAAGAAGCTTTAGTTCGAAGCACACAATGGCCTGGCATGAGATAATTTAGCAGATAATATATCGAATAAAATTCTTTCACTGCATTCGCTTATATCACTTCCTCGAAGGAAAACATTAAGTAAGAAAAGATTTGGAAATATATCATTTACTACACAAACGTTTGACCAGACAAAAAGCTGAAAGATAACATACTGAATGAAGATGCTTCAGAGGTTCCCTCGCAAGAAGATCGGGGTCGCCGTAGTTTTCGAATCCAAGAGACAGTAAGCCTACATCAAGTTGGGAATTTAAATGAATATATCATATGTGTGATAACCAATGGCAAAGGTTAATTAACCTACCAAATTGAGTGCCCCAATCACCAAGATAGTTAACAGAGGTGACGACATTTCTAGCAGCTAGGTTAATGTTCCTAACGAAATTACCAAGGACTGTGGCACGAAAGTGTCCCATATGCATAGGTTTGGCAATATTGATGGAGCTGAATTCCACTAACACTTTTTGTGGCTCAGTGTCTGGCTTGCGCATAATTGCATGGCAATTTAACGGGGACAATCCGAGAAGATTGAGGTCAAGGCACTTTCTAATTGAGCTCTAGAAGTACTTGGTTTACTCAACTCTGCAAATCTACCTTCATTTATGTGCCCAATAAAAGAGTGTAGGAAATGATTGAGTCTAAAATGGTAAGGAGTGCAAAAAGAGAGATTTATTTGTTGTGATAGTTTAAACAATGTTCAAAATCAAAAGGTATAAAATCAACTCAAACATAATGATGCAAAATGCAAGAACCACGCACTTGGAATTTTATCATTGGGGCGGTCAAAAAGTCTTCCTTATACCCAAGGTTAAAATGAAACTTTAAAATAAAGATTGTTTTTTAATTGTTTGGTTAGTAATTATTTGCTATTTAATCTTAAAATTTATCTTCTTAAATAAATGCGGTAGATGGCGCTCCACTTTGCAAACAATCTGTGATATGTTCATATTCAAGTCCCCTGTTTGCCAGATTAGCATCAATTATAGCACAACAGCCGCTTCCATCATCTTTTACCCTATTTTATTCTTGGTTTGCACTCCATCTCTTGTAGATCTTTATACATTTCATGTCAAATTATTGTATCTTGAAGAGTCTTTAGAATCATGCTTTCTACATTGGTTTAGAAATTTCATAAATTGAACTAAAATACTTCGAAATTTGCCTGATAAATTTCTACCATAAACGTTTAGAGGGTCAGGGAAAAAATTCAAGTTATTAAATATGACTTAATTATCATCAAACAGGTATTTTGGCACTAAATTGACCAGTCGATCTCTAACACAGCTAGCACATTCTACGTCATACTTTTCTTTTTCATTTGACTCAAGTGACTTCAAACATTCACATACATTTTTTTACGTTCATCGAGGTACCCATTATGGATCCTCTCGAAACTTGATTTTCGGCGGGCAAAAATGAAGTAGTGAATTAGCCATTTAGCTCTCTGGGCATCTAACTCTGTCCATATTGACTAGCATGCTTATTGCTGCTCCCCTAGCATCCGCCAATTCCTCTACAAATGATTCAATCAGACTTGTTCGTTCCTATTTTGACATCGAAGTTGTGTTATTATGCTGATTTTATACACCTAGTCATCTCACCATTGATTCTAGTTGAAACCAAATCACTTATACGTTGATTTACCATTATAGGTTTAATTTTGCTGTAAAGTTCGACATTAAACGAAGGATGATAAATAAAACGACCCCTCGTCACTTGCACCTAAGTCTTCGCTCAATCAATAGCATGTAGACCCTCTCCAGTCATGGCAAAATGTTATTATCAAGGTGTTTACCAACTAACGTAAGTCTGAAGTAATTTCTCAACTACTGGATCTAACCAGACGCTATTTCGTCGAATTGTAGACATGACTATTCTAACTACAAAAATCAGAAAAATCCCCCTTGTCTAATCATGTCCATCAACATGTTCTACTCATAAATCTGAATAGCACAGAAATACCACCATTCACTTCATCTTATAAAGCTCAAATCCTATAGCATGCATGAATTTTGTACCTTCTAAGGTAGTGTTAACAACCTCCCACTTATTAAAACAGCAAATAGTGCGCTTAAATGGCGAAAAATGCACAAATTTGAAGACGTCGTATACCTGCATCATAAGAGACATTTTTATTTTCGTTTAGATGGAAAGACGGGCATGTAACGCTTGACAACCACGCCGAAAACTGGTATAAAGGAACCCCACATTTGTCTTGATGTTTCTATTCTAGGAAGACGTCAGAAACGACAGGGGTTGGTTAAAGCTAGATATTGAAAGAGTCTGAAAATTAAAACTACATTCCGAAATAAAAAATAACAGAAATCATAGTCATTCGTCAAAAATTAGCAGCGCCAAATCAGTGCATCCGACAATAAATACAATACAATAAATCATGTAAATGTCGAATCAAAAAATGCGATAATTTTTAAAACCCTTAAAGAAGGTTTAATTTGACTAACACTAAGGAAAATCGATAGTTGATTTTGTGATTATGTAAAATATAGAAATAAAAATATAAGTAACAATATAATTTATTGTAAGTTAAACATATTCAAAACTATTGCTAGTTACATATCATGAAATTTTGTTTCCTGAAGTAATTTATTGGATTTTGTATGGGAAGGTGTCATTTTCCACCTGCTCATCCCAGGCTTCAACCTAGAAGGGTAATTTTAAAACTTTTTCAACAAACCCAGAAACTCGGGCATAGATCCTTGTAAGCGAAACGAAAATAATTGCAAGGTTTGTACTGTTCCCCATAAATACGAGTGCATCGATGAAAGTCGATGTAATTTTGCAAGCAGTTCCTAGAAGTATTAGAACAAGATCAAATTTACTTTGTTTGATTGGTATTTGGAAAGCGAGGATCGTGAGGAACAGATTGAACATAAGAATAATCTCCCGTTTCTTTAGCTTTTCGGGACTTTTCCCTATATTCTTCCAGATCTACCATTTTCAAGAAGTTAACTGACACTCAATTTTGACCTTATTAGAATTAACCAATGACATGTACCACAAAATTACTAACTTTAAGTGAACCTGGTGCTGCAGTTCAAGCAAAAAGACATTTAAATTTATCTGACGATATAATTTAGAACTCTTAATTTTTTAAATAAAATATAACAATACGTTTCACTTGTCAGCATTCACTTTAACATTCATTGAAATAGCTGTACATATTTTAAGTATTAATTAATGAAAAACAATCCAAAAGAAAACATTTTCGCTATTATTAGCGTACTTTGAATAATACGCTCATTAAATATTCCCAAAATGAAAACTGGAATGAGATTTCCAATAAATAATACAAATTTTCGAAAACATTCATTGACGAAAGAGACCTTATGGGTTATTCCTTTTGTTTTATAAGTCATTATGAAATGCATTATATTGAAAAAAGAGTTTGAGGATTATTTACCTTCTGTCATTTCAAGTGAACCTCCAGTCAATGTGTCGTTCTCTACAAGATTCATAACTCACCGTTGCACGGACAAGCAACATAATTAATGAAAAGTTTCCTTCTCCACAATGATTTGATATTAATTGATATTTTTTTCGTCTATATCCGTTTTAACAATTTAGCCATTTTGGAAAAGCAGAAATATCAGTAAATGCTTCAAATATACCATGGAGCTTATAATTGTGGGACACGTTATCGCTGTGTGCGTCATCGTATGCCTGCATGTCTGCTCGCCAGGATTGGGAGGTGCGGCCGTGCAACTTTGTGTGCAGCGACCGTACAAACAGTGACCAATCATTAACCTCTGTTTAACCTAATCCCCATCCTGATCATGATTAGGGCCCCTACGTGTACACTTGATCCGCAATACCCGTACTGAATAAACGTCCTCCGTGCTACACGCCTGTTTCCTTTATAGCTGGGCTATAGCTTAACTGGTTCTGGGAGTCTAGCTAGATGTAAGAAAAACTGCCATAGAGATTTCTGAGTTAGTCAGGCTTTAATAAAGTAGCAATCCGCTACAAATTGGTAACCCTGACGTGATTGCCAAAGCCTGACTGTAATCGCTCAGTAGAAAACCAATCTCTCACTGGCATCGGGATTTTCTCTCCTCGTCCCTCAATTTCCTCGGTGATCTCTTCAAGCTCGAATGATTATCACCTTACGTCCGCTGCCGTTTCTCACGACAAGTCAGATCCTGACTTCCGCTCAACAGAGACTCCATCTCTCATCGGCGACGCGATTGTTCTTCACATCGCTCTCCTCATCTGATGGTCCATTGCCACGAACGATCATCACCTCAACGGCACCCCAACTCTCTCCTGTCACTGGCTATGACTCCCTCAGAATGCCATGGGAAACAGGTAACAGCCGGAGCACGTTGCGTTTCGAATGTCCATCTCTTCGAGACTTAAGAACTTCATCCTTCTACCCAATGTAAATAACCGCCGGAGCACATTGCTCTTCGAAAGCCTACCCTTACAGATCCCCAAAACTCCAGCTCACAACCGCATTTCAACCGGCAAGCCGAGACCAATCGTCAGGCAAGCACACGCCGGAAGATTTCGACCATGGATTGTCTCAACCAAACATCCGTTCAACAAGAACGTTGAACACCGATTGTTGCATATCGAGGAACATCCAACAGGACGCTCGTCAGTGGACCAAATACTGCCTCGCTCAGCCGGCAAGGTCCACAACCATGCACGAAGTCCACAATCCTACTGCCTCTCACTCCAGCAATCCCGTCTCAGCAGTTCCAACACCTGTCCCACCTCTACCCAAAACCCTGTTACTCTAAGGCCGAAGATCTACCTTCCCCTCCCAACTAGTTGTTTTTGTACCTTAACTGATTATCGAGCGTTTTTCTTTACCTTTCAGCCCCTACAAACGCTCTAGGGGGGGGGGGGAGTATTGTGGGACACGTTATGGCACGTTCGGTAGTGAATTACTCGTCATCTACCTGGCAGTCAAACACCGAGCGAAAATGTCCTTTTAATTGGGAGACGTAGGAACGAGGGTCGACAACAGTGTGATCCCGGGACGGGTAAATCATTTCTCCAGGAAGCCGGAGCGTTGTACCAAGAACGAGCTCTGCTGGGGAGCATCCGAGGTCTTCCTTAATAGTATTTCGTACGGAGAGGAAGCCGATTGGGAGACGTTCTGCCCAATTTAAGCCAGAAGAATTAGCGATGAGGGCCGTTTTAAGCTGTCGGTGGAAACGTTCGACTACGCCGTTGGCTTCTGAATGATAGGCAGTAGTGTGAATGTGTGTCGATCCCAACAACTGGTTTAAGTCCCGGAACAGCGCAGAGGTGAACTGTGATCCTCTATCGGTCGTTATTACGGCTGGAACTCCGAATACAGATATCCATGATCCTATTAGGGCCTTCGCCACCGATGTCGAAGAGGTATCGCTTAATGGAACAGCAATTGGCCAGCGCGTAAATCGGTCAATACAAGTTAAGATATGGGTGAAAGAGTTCGATGAGGGAAGCGGGCCAACGATATCAACATGAATGTGTCGGAAACAGGCTTCGGGGAGGGGAAAACTGGAGGTCTGGCTGCGGGTATGCCGTTGGACCTTGCTCACTTGGCACTTGAGGAAATTTTTAGCCCACTGCCGAGCGTCCTGTCGAATGTTCTTCCAAACAAAACGGTCAGTGATCAGCTTTGTTGTAGATCGAATGCTCGGATTTGACAGACCGTGGAAATGGTCGAAAATCTTCCGGCGATATGCTTGCGGGACGGATGGTCTCGGCTTGCCGGTTGATACGTCGCAGTGGATCCGTGTATTGGAGCTCGGTAGAGGTAAACATTCGAAACGTAACGAAGGGTTGGATGTGATTTCGATGAAATCTGGATCCGACATTTTTGTTCGGTGGCCAGGACTTGCAAATCGAGAGAGGGCACCCCTATTTGATTCAACTCCATGCGAGACATTCCATCAGCAACCACGTTACTCGCGCCGTCAATATGGCGAATATCATTTGTGAATTGTAAGACGAAATCCAAATGACAAGCTTCCCTGGGGGAGTGGTGATCTGAGTTGGCCTGGAACGCATAAATTAGGGGCTTGTGGTTGGTAAATATTGTAAACTGACGGCCTTCCAATATATGACGAAAGTGTTTGACTGCCAGGTAGATGGCGAGTAATTCTCTACCGAACGTGCTATAACGGGTTTCAGTAGCGGTGAGCTTCTTGGAGAAGGAGAGTGGTTGGGTTTCGCCTCTAACTACCTGTTGCAGAACTGCTCCGACGGCCATTTGAGATGCGCCTGTCTTTAACACTATTCGTGTCTCGCTGGAAGTGTCGAGGTGGTTTAGAGTAGTTGCCCTGGAGAGCAGTTGTTTCACTCCCGTGAACGCGGACTCAGCCTCCGATGTCACTCGGAAGTGTTTCGGGTTGCCTTTCAGTAGATCCGTGAGAGGTTGGAGTACTTGAGCGCAGTTGGGAATGAATCTTCCGTAATAGTTCACAATCGACACGTTATCGCTCAACAATTGGTCATCTCTCATGTCATCTAGCTGGCTTAGACATGTGGGACACGTTATCGCTGTGTGCACATATCTACCTTGTGGGACACGTTATCGCTGTGTGCGTCATCTGCCTGCATGTCTGCTCGCCAGGATTGGGAGGTGCGGCCGTGAACTTGGGACAAGCCTTGTGGGACACGTCATCGCATGCCTGCACGCCAGGACTGGGAGATGCCAGGATTGGGAGGTGCGGCCGTACAACTTTGTGTGCAGTTCGCCAGGATTGGGAGGTGCGCCGTATAACTCTGTGTGCAGCGATCGTACAAGCAGGTGCGGCCTTACAACTCTGTGTGCAGCGACTGTACAAACAGTGATCATAAAGTAACCTCTGTTTAACCTAATCCCCCATCCTGATCATGAGTAGCTCCCCGCGTGTACACACTTTTTCCGCAACATACCCGTACTGAATAAACGTGCTCCGTGCCACACGCCTTTTTTCCTTTATAGCTGGGCTGTAGCTTAGCTGGTTCTGGGAGTCTAGCTAGATGTAGGAGAATCTGCCATAGAGATTTCTGAGTCGGTCAGGCTTTACTAGCGTAGCAATCCGCCCAGTTTCCATTTCATCTTATTTAAATTCGGTTGGATTTTAAAAGATTTGCACAATCTCCATTTATTGTATTGATTTGGTTTCGCCAATTTTATTTGTCTGGCTATGTATTTTCTTTTTTCCTCAATGGTTTTGCAAATGCCGGCAACGATCATTACACCAGTTTAAGAAAACTTTCAGCACCGATATTCTAGCGCACCTTTCCTGTTTTAAACATATACTGACAAGGATTTATTTATTCCTATCCACATTTATATAAATGCCTATGTATGCGACGGTGAAGAATTATAGATGAATATGGGTCTCTGTCATACAAAATCCCAGCTACTCTAGATATACTCTCGGAACTAAACACCCAGCAGGCGGTCTTTCATTCCCCCCACCTTTCTAAACGCATACCACTTTTGGCAGCTTGGCAGTAAGATGGTGAAAACTTCCATCGATGCGGCACTACTTAACCTTCACGTTACCACAGTATCCACTCCATTTGATTGTCCCGCCTCCCCATTAATCTAGTACATGCAAACTAGCGACTAGCATAAACTCGCTCCAGCTCTTCAGTAGTAATATGCTCCGTGAGTTGCCATAATAGAAACAAATTAGCCGCTAAAATATCTTGGGATAATTTGCATTCTGCCTTAACTCCCTCCCTCCTCTGAATCCGCAGCCAGAAGACAACTATAGAACTCCTTGATCATAGTAGGAAGAGTCGGATTGTCGCAATGCAAAGGTGTCTGTCGTAAAGTCAGTAAAATTAGAATTTAGTCACTTCCCGATCGAAGCGCTTAAGTGCCTATTATAAGGAAAAAATAACTGGTAGTATAAAAGCTGACAATTTTGTCTAATGTTCATAAACGCGTTAAATTTTTAAAATCAAGTGTTTATTTGTTATTCATTTATGTTTTAAAAAGAATATCATCGCTATCACTTAGTCAAGTTGCCATGGCCATTTTCGCACTAATACTGGGATTCGATCAATATGCATTTTTTTGCACCATGGTCTAGTCAGTATAAAACACCATATATGAACAAAAAACCCGCGTTTAAAAGAAAAAAATATGGGATACTGTAACCATCAATAAGCACACTAATTTCGTTACTGGTAATCAATTTTGAGCTAACACTTATTACCTGTGGCCGCTATTCAGAGGTCACTTCAGTTAAAGCGACCCAATCGCACTTGCATATCTATAGACAGAATAGGGTATTTTTAGATGGACGGAGTCGAGTGACCCTTTCTGAACAGAACTAAGTTAGGACAGGTCACCGCAACCCAAGTAGCAATTGATTGTAATCTGTCACTTAATCACTAAGATGGCAGGTCAGCACTACATATTCACAGATCGGTTAGGTCAATCATCTTGTCGTTTAGATCTTCCTCGATCGGATATTTTAAATGTTCAGAAGATTCACTATCACCTTTTCAAAAGGTAAAAAAGACTCAAACGACCAAAGTTTAAGCAAATGATATTAAATGGTCAACTAGTAAAAACCCGACAGTAAAAGTGAAGTACGAATGTGAACATAAGTAGGATATTAAGAAGCTAGATCTGAAAATAGTTGTTTACACGTATGTACTTTTCATTTGGATGAAGAATAACGGACCGGAACATCTTCATCCATTTGCTCTTCTTCCTTTTCAGTCAAAAGAGGTATTTTTTCTGGTGGAGCCAAGGCCAACACTCGCTGCTTGGCATCTTCAGGTAGATTGCCAAGGTAATCAACGCCCTCGATGTAAACTTTGGGAAGGTAGTCTTCTAGCAACAAGCAAACGAGTTCTCGATCTTCCAGGGTGGGATTTTTTTGAACTAAAAGCCGCTTTAGACTTCTGAAAGGGTGAAAATGACAAGATTCAAATAATGTAAATGAGAATTACGATCATGTAGCAATGTTGAAAAGCGAAATGCTAATCAAGTCAGAGATCAGATACATACATGCAGTAAGGAAATGCTTCTTAACGTTCTATAAAACAAAATGATACAGTTATCTTTTTAAATGACTTAGAAAATCCTGCAAATAAAAGCATGTATCGTCAGAAGTAGACAGAAATATGACCTCATTTTCAACGATTATTTATCAGCGCAACAAACTTGGGAAGTCAAATTAGAATATCTACTAACGCAGCATCTATTTTGATATGAGGATTCTTAATAAAATCATATGAAAAGCTTGTTGTGGAACAGGAGGGGG